GGTTTAGCTCGACATGTATGTATTGAGGGATGTACGCAGTTCTCGCCACCCAGCGAGTGGTTGTAACAACTACTGGATTTTGAATAGTCTTCATTGTTCGGCCATCAACCGTCAGAGCGGTGCTTCAAAGCCGTATGTGTGACAGGTCTTCGGTTATCGGTCATAGGTTGCCGGGGAGGTACATCAGGTATGAATGCTAGGTGCTAGTTGGCTGGAGCAGGCCAATGCCGCCACATGCATTACCTGCCTGCTCCTTTGAAGAATCTTTTGTCAGGTTCTTGGAACTAAGTAAACGATTCTGCCGTGGTGGTAGAAAACGATTTCGTTTTTAACTCCTTCGGCCCTTTTTGGCAACGCTGTCTCCCAGGAAGTTTGACACCTGCGAAGCTTCCCGGGCCAGTTCGGATTCATGCAGGGTTTACGGAGTAAGTAAGGCGACCGAAAACCTAAACCAGAAGCTTTACAAGGAGTCGAAGAATGTCGCGTGTAAGAAGGGTCTAACTAGATGCCCCAAACTCCCCTGCTCCCGACATGTTTGGAAGTCCTGCGGCGGCAAGTAGCCTGAGTGTCGGTTCGGCAGAGCAAGGTGTCCGACTCTAACGCTCGTGCGAGGTAGGAAAGGCTTCACGCCGACCGGTCCATCAAGCTGCTGCTACGATCGGAATCCTATCCGTGCCGATCAAGCATCAGCAGCTGTATGCTCGGTCCTGCTCAATCTGTCGCCCAATCCAAGCTATGCGGAGACAAGACAGTTCAGTTCCCGAAATTCGGCAGAAATCACTCCGCAACCTCCGATCAAAAGCCGTTCATTCCGCCGCTGTGGATTACTTACTTAATTTATCACCGAATCCCACTGGACAATTCAAACTCGACGAGCATCCGTCCAACGAAAACGCAAGCCTGACATGCGAGATCGCCAGCACCGAGCCCAAAACCGTGTCCCGGCCCAGCCCCACACCATGTGTGTGCGTACATGTGTATTGCCATGGCCGCACACATACGAAAGACACCTTATCCAGCTCATGCAAAGACCGTGGACCTGCCTTCAACGTGCAAAACCATAGAGGTGCCAGATGGATAGTTATATAGCTATAGACACACAGAGAGTTTTGAAAGAGGAAAGCCGTCGCAGTCATAGAGAGGCATTATTGAGCTGGGGGGCGTATTGCTCGAATCGCCACCGCTGTGCCAGCGTGCCTAGGACTGAACATGCCTATAGGACTGATAAGGTTTCAATTGGAAGGTTTATGAAGGTTTGACTAAACCTGCGAGGTTTCTTATAGCGGTATTGCATGGTGTCTCGGACATCTCCGGATTCCTTCACATGTGCGGCAGACTTAAGAACGTGCCTATACTGTTGATGCATAGATGGGCGCCCTGCTACGCGGCGACGACGCTCAACAACTGCCAAACCACTTATGAAACACTGCCTCCAATCCCTTCCTCCCAGACGTCGTCATTCCTGATCAGGGCTAGTATCGCAACATGTGATATGGCCCTGTCACCCACAGCTAAGCGACGACATGTTCAGCTCACACTTCCGTCGTCAAGCGCCGCACGCTGATTCGGAAGGCAGTCGGGGGCATCTTACTACTGAATCCAGTGTCAGTGGTAACATCCTGTAAACCGTCACTCATCGATGCCTGCACCTACCCACACGACTACGACGAATCATGATGTCTGATGATCTGATGGTGTTTATGCTGAGGCGAGCATGATTGTGTGTGGTGGGTGTCTCCTTTGCGCCGGTAACGCGGTAGACTACGAAGATCCATCAGCAGATGCCATTTTGAAGCGAAGGTGCTTGAAGTCAACCGACTTAGTTTCTTCCCCGGTCGACGGATCCTGAGGCCAGTGCTGCCACGGCTTGAAAGGAGTCCGTTGCCCTCTTTAAAGAAACCAAAAGCTAACCACCCGTACTCTGTGAAGTACGGTACTTATTTGTGATATTGGATTTGCTGGGTCAACCTGTCCACGGACCAGAAAGGCACCGACCCTAATGATGAGCTAGCAGCTCTAAAATATTTTGGGTATCATAATGCGAACTAACTCATAATTCATCACCAACTCGGGGCGCTGTGTTTCCTGCAAACCCAAGGTCCCAAAGTCTGCAGAGACCAGTTCGATCGCAGGAGGCCAGGACCTTGTTGTCCGGCGAAAACCTGGGAATACTCAGCGATGCTCTCTCTCTCTCTCTCTCTCTATATATATATATATGTATCTAGATGATCTCCCTCTCTCTCTCTCTATATATATATATATATACGTATCTCTCGACACGATACGTGAGTGTGTGTGGGTGTATTTAACATATGTATGCATGTGTATAAACACATGATCACACGTATATATACATGTCAGAATACGCATACATACATACATACATATATACATAGATAGAAAGTGCGTTGAGATGTATGTATGTGGACACCTTTCGATCAAAATGGTTTAGGGCGTCTTAGCGCTGCCGGCGCTCAAGGTGGTAGTGTTCCCTTTTTCCCTTGCGGACGCTGCCCCTACGTGGATCATTTCTTTGCCACCCGTAGCTTTGTGCCCCCCGCCCACCCGCCCACGGAACGCTGCGAACCCCGTCCATGCCAACCCCCCCCCCCCCCCACGAAACCAAAGACAACGCTGAAGATCACGATAACATGCCGGCT